TTCGTTTACTAGATTGAATTGTATAGTTTATTTACTTTGAAAGACAATATTCCAATAATTATTCCAACGTATGATAAAGTTATTTCAATTACAATGTGATTATAAATAAATTTATAGTTTATTTACTTTGAAAGACAATATTCCAAAAGTTATTCCAACGTATGATAAAGTTATTTCAATTACAATGTGATTATAAATAAATTTATAGTTTATTTACTTTGAAAGACAATATTCCAAAAATTATTCCAACGTATGATAAAGTTATTTCAATTAAAATGTGATTTTAATTAAATAAGATAAGAACAAGATATGTGCATCTTCTTTAGCTCAGGCTCCTGTTGTATTTCCTATCGTACTTGTCGATGAGATCTTCACTTGCAGTGGTTTCCCGAATTTTCTCCTCTGTTGCCTAAGACCGACTCCTTTTACACCTCTGTAAGCTACTTTAATTTTACAATTTAAAATTGGAAAGGAAACTGATTACAAATCTATCCTAGAAGAAGAAAGATATAGTACAACTCGATATGTATTATTAAAAGAAGGTATATATATATGTTTCATAGACATATAATTATGGCCGTTGTCGTAGCACCAATGCAGGACTTATATATTTCTGATATATGTTTCATAGACATATAATTATGGCCGTTGTCGTAACACCAATGCAGGACTTATATATTTTTGATATATGTTTCATAGACATATAATTATGGCCGTTGTCGTAACACCAACGCAGGACTTATATATTTCTGATATATGTTTCATAGACATATAATTATGGCCGTTGTCGTAACACCAACGCAGGACTTATATATTTTTGATATATGTTTCATAGACATATAATTATGGCCGTTGTCGTAACACCAACGCAGGACTTATATATTTCTGCTATATGTTTTCATAGACATATAATTATTATTATAAATTTTCGGCGTAATACCACCTTGACGAATGTTCATCGACTCGCCTCTGCTTCATAATTTCGCTGTCTTAAATACTCCTACGCCGGAGCTTTCGTCTAGCGTATTTTAAATTCTTCCGTTCGTTTACCTGCTGTGTTTTGCAGCGTACTGTGCTTTTATTCTTGGCCGTGTAGCCGCTGTGCTTCTGATCTTGCCGTATTTCGCTGCGCTTTTGACTTTGTTTTCGTCGTGTTTTGTTTTGACAATTTGTTATTTTAACACGCGTTTTAAAATCGTCAATAAACAATAATTTTATTTGTTATATAAAATAAAATTATTAAAATTAAATTTAAATTATAAATTATATTAAATTAAATTTTAGTTTTAAATTATAGTATTAAATTATAGTATTAAATTATAATATAGTTTAAATTATTGTAAATAAATTAACTTAACCAAAATTTGAATTTTTGTGAAATTCAATTCTGTGTTAATTCAGTGCCTAGTTTTTTATGTAGGAGGAAATTTGGTGTCAAAATTTCCGTCCTTACAAACTCTATAACATCGCTGGCGTGAGCAATAGACTCCATTTCCATTGTATAACGGTGGATACTCCAGTGAATACTCCGACATCAGGTGCCCCCTCCAACGGGTTTGGATGCATATATATGTGATGAGCGTGATTCTTTGTAATTCGAGATATTTCTTCCTTGATTGTCGGAGCACGTAGTTGTTTATGCAGCTGTTCATTCGTTATATACCAAGGTGCATTTGTGATCATTCGTAGTGTTTTAGATTCAAAACGCTGGATAATTGCCAGGTTTGAGTTTGCTGCAGTATCTCATAATTGGACTCCATAACTTCATATAGGTTTTAGTACAGTTTTGTATATAAGCACCTTATTGTCTAGTGACAGTTTGGAATTTCGGCTGAGGAACCAAAATAAGTTTCGTAATTTGAGAACCAAGGCTTTGCTTTTTTTAAATATGTGTGGTTTTCAGGTTAGTTACTATCCAGATGTATGTCCAAGTATTTTGCTTCTACAGCTTATGGTAATTGAGTATTGTTTATTAAAACAGGCGGGCGCGTAGAACGTTTTGTAGTAAATGTTACTTGGACAGATTTTGACTCATTTGGTTTGATACGCAAGTTTTTCATCCAGAGAGCAACATTGTTAAAGCAGGTATATAATTTGGTGGAGGCACGAATTGGGTCACTGTCAACTGATAGAACAACTGTATCGTCTGCAAATGTACCGATAACACTCTTATCGGTAAGGGGAAGATCCGCAATATATAGAAGATAAAGCATTGGAACCATTATGCTACCTTGAGGTACTCCTGCTCCTATATCACGAAGTACTGTAGTTTCATTTCGATGCTTAATGAAAAAGTGCCTTGCCGAGAAATATGATTTAATAAATATGAAAAAATTTAGGGATAGTTTGAAGGTCTCCATGCCATACTCGATCAAAAGCTTGTGAAATATCTATATGTGCCGCATTGCATTTTTTCTTATCATCCATCGCACTATGGATATGTCCGTCAAGTCTATGAATTTGTGCTGTTGTGCTATGTTTTTGGCGAAAGCCGAATTAATGGTCAGGAATAAGTCTGTTTTTTTGAATAATCGGTGCAAGGCGCTTTAGAAACAGTATTTCCATAACTTTCGACAGGATCGGAAGTAGAATTATTGGGCGATATGATTTGACATCTTCTGGGGTTTTCCCTGGTTTCGGTATCATGGAAATTTGCGCTATATTCCACTGTGGCGGAATAAATCCCCGTATTATCACAGCGTTAGGTAGATGAGTGAGAAATACAAATCCTTTTGGCGGTAGCTGCTGCAGGGCCATTCCTGTGATCAAATCGTATCCTGGAGCTTTTTTTACTTTTAAATTCGCTATTACATCCCTAATTTCATTAATGAAATATCTTTTGACGGATTCGAATAGCAAAGAAAGGACAAACACAAATATTTAGTTTTAATTTTATTGAAAATTTGGCTGACCATACAACGCTGTTTCGAGTATTGCCAAGTACTTTTATCAGTGGTCTTTGGAAATAATCGAATTTTATTTAATTAGTTTATAGTCCGTATATAATTTGTTTGGACTGCAAGTGCCAGGCTTAGAACTCGTGCCTGTAAGCCTGGCGCCACGTAACACTTCGTTCAATAATTTGTGTGACTAACTAATTAAAACACATTTTTCTGCCAAAATTCGTTTTTATTCATCAACATAGTCCCCTTTTAGGGAGATACAATCACTCCAACGCTTTTGCAATCTTTCGATACCGCCTTTGTAAAACGATTTTTCTTTGCCTTCAAAATAGGCGTTAGTTTTGGCGATTACTTCATCATTACTTTATCAGCCAAATCTCTTACCACGGAGCATCTTTTTGAGGTCTGCGAAGAGCCAGTAGTCGCTGGGGGCCAGATCTGGAGAATACGGTGGGTGTGGCAGCAATTCGTAGCTCAATTCGTTCAATTTTGCCATCGTTTTCATCGACTTGTGACACGGTGCATTGTCTTGGTGGAACAAAACTTTTTCTTCGCCATATGAGGCCGTTTCTTTGCGATTTCGTCTTTCAAACGCTCCAATAACGCTATATAATAGTCGCTGTTGATGGTCTTCCCCTTCTGGAGATAGTCGATAAATATTATTCCATGCGCATCCCAAAATACAGACGCCATAACCTTGCCACCCAACTGCTGCGTCTTTGGTCGCTTTGGGCGGCTTTCAGCGGCTGCATGCCACTCAGCATGACTCTGGAGTGCCGATTTGACTCTGGAGTGAAATGGTGGATCCATGTTTCATCTATCGTGATGTACCGTCGCATAGTATTATAGTTATAAACATATAATACTATAGTTATAGTATTATATGTTTAATACTATAGTTATAGTATTATATGTTTTCTCTTCGAAATTCACTTAATAGCTAACTTAAACTAACTTCGACAATATCCATTGTTATTGTTTTTGTTTACAAAGTTTGGTTACGGTATCTTATTTTGATAAATTTTTTATCAAACATATTGGTTTTTTAATAGTTTGATAACCGTTACTTGTTTTGATACAATTTGGTATGATCATTACAATTTTGTAAATGTTCATTAACTTACATTTTTCAATAATAAGTGTATACATATAAGTGTGTATAAATATATTTATATTAAACAAAATGTGGGAACATTGTGTATGACCATCACAATTTTGTAAATTGTAATTTTGTAGTTTTGTTTGATGGGTGATTTTTTGTCCTGGACTTATAGCATCAGTTGGAAGGCTGGAACTCTGTATGTGGGCTAATTTTGGTTGAATTAGTTCAAGCTCGTGGATTGAGGGTGACAATGGTTTGACGCTGATGTTATTGCTGACATATTGCTTTGTCCATCTTACAGATAGATTAAACCTTGTGATTGATGCCGTAAATCTTATTCCGAATTTGTACTTTGTTGCATTGCAGCTGTAGTAGATACAATAATGTTTTTTTTTAGAGCATCCTTATCTCGTCCATCACATTTCCTGGGGAGCGATAATGTCACTCTTGTATTCCTTGAGGATATTAATCAGCTATATAGATGTGCCCTCTCTGTAAAGAGTTCGGTCATTTCAGAACCATGTTCTTAAATCGTGTTCTTCGTCAACCAAAAACGGTTTTTTTGGAGTTATGGTTTTTCATGATGAGTTCCACGCCTGATGAATAATCTTATATATCCATGAGAAGACACCAAGCCCGACTTATAACCTTATATATTCATGAGGAAGCTTCCGCTACACACATCAGTTCACTACGCTTCCACGGTGCCCATTCTGGATAGGTACAAACTCATAAAGAAGAGTGACAAGGATCGTGCTGGCGTTTACTTAATTAAATGTTTACTTAATTACTTAATTAATTAAAAATCTAACACTTTATCTTGTATGTTCACTACTTAACCCCCTCCATTTTTATTATATTACATTATATTATATTATAATACATTTTATTATATATTTATTATATTAAAAATTTATGTATTTTATTTCATGAGTTTTTACTGCATTTCATATACAAAAGGCATCTGAATGCTGAGCATAGTCTAGATGACCGGTCCACCGCCCAAGCTCGCGTGCAAATGCAAGTTGTTTCTCAGTTGGAGTTACATTTGCAAAAGGAACGTGATCGTCTTCAAGCTATGATGCATCATTTATATTTAACTAAACAATTTCTTTCACCAAAAATGAAGGAATTTAAGGTAAACGTTCAGACTTCATTCACATGTTTTTATTTTTATTTTAATGTGTATTATTTACCTTCTTTGTTAGGACTCTATTGATCAGCAATATAAATGTATATCTGCCCACGCTTCGTCAAGTAGTACAAATTCCAAAGTTTCGCAAGAACTATCTGCTTCAGTTTCTAATCCGTTATTAAATTCTGGTAATACATCAACTTTAAGAAAACGTGTCAACGATAAACCATGTGTTTCTCTATCTGGCGGTATGTGTTTTGTGAACTTATTACCAGAATGATTAGATATTATTTGTAAAGTGAATGTTTGCAAACAAAAAAGGAAATTTTGCAATTATTTAATTGATTCGTTTATTTTTTAGCTATTAAACAGTAGTATCAATTTTTTGAGAATTTGCTGTTTATTTTTAAACAGAAGGTTTTATTTGGTAGACCAAGAACTTAACATAGTTATTCATTATGTTGTTAGAGAATTGACTATGGTCATTCGATTGTACTAATTTCTATGTGGTAACGTTGGTTTGACTGGTAGTTCCTCTGATTTTTTCAAGACATTCAGGTCCTGTTTTTCCAAACATCTGGAAAAACTCCATTTCGTTATTCATAACAATTAAACTAAATTCTGCTTGAATTGCGCAACTGAGCTGCCCAGACACTTTTGATCACATTTCGATCAATTTAATCTTTTTATTTATTTCTTTGTACATGACTAGTATTAGCAATAACTATAGCATCGTATCTGGGCTTTAATGTCTTGCTTAGCATTTTGTCTTCTTAAAATCCATCGTCATTGTTACTTTTCTATGCCTGAAGACATTGCACCTACGTCTATATCTTTTATTGGATACAGTAATTACGTGTGTAATTACTCCACACCCTCTTTATTATCTGACATTACACTCATTTGTAGTGTTGTGTCAACATGCGGACAGAGTGATTTAATTGCAGCGTTTATAACTAAGTCCGAACGCATTATTTCGATTTGTCTATTTCTTTATATTAGTCAAAGAGCCAGCTAATTTTATTTTTATTTTATAATGTTAGTCTTTACTATATTTACTTAACCGACCATAACAAACCGATTTTGGATTTCAGTCTGACGCATCATTTCGATCTATACTCTTCTGCTACAAGCGCGTCATCGACAGTGTCGTACATTATGTGCGTATAGTGCTTCCTTAACTTGATCACTCCACCGGAGATACGCTGAGCTTCACTATCTTTTATCTTCGACAACTGCTTTAAATACTATTTTTACTGGAGTGTTTTTATTCATTCCTGACCAAGTTACCAATGCTGCCGGATCTTAATTTGTTGAATTATATTAATGCTGTGATAAAGGTCTTGAAACTTGTGGTTTGTTCGGATGCGGTAGTTATCATCAACTCATAGAGGACCAAAGATCTCATGGAACTTATCTCTCCAAAATTTCCAGTGCTGCACAATCAGAAGCACAGATAGGATAAGCGACTATAGAGTTTTGGTTTTGTCTGGCGAGAGAGAACTCACATTTGGCTATTGAACCTATAATAAGACCTACTGACAATGATGATTATTCATTTAATCTTCAAGCTTGTTGTTTATTATGCCGGTTTTGAAACTATAATCGCCAGCTACCATGTCCGAGAGATGCAAATTTCTATCAGTACAAACAGCAGCATAGACAGTTGTAACATAACGCTTGCTACGTCCAAAGATGTCGATGTCGTTAAAGTAAGCAAGCAACTGAATATATTTTTAGAAAATCGTGGCCTCATGGGGATAGTAATAATGTTTTAAGAAGTTTATATCTAAAGTTCGTATTTTTATCACCCTTAATTTTCTCAAACCGTATTTGACAATTTTCAAGAATTTTATTCCCAGCGTCAACATTTTGCTTAATTTTAAAAGTCAATATACCATATTTATAAATTTCGTGAGTTCACAGTATAAAATGTAATTACAATTATTGGATAAGATTAGTAGTCCCATTTTGTCTATTAATATAATTCTGAATGATGCGTTTGATGTCTCGGGTACTTTTTTTTGTTTTGTTTTATATATTTCTTGCGTTTCTGAGCTGTTTATTTTTTAATAGTTGGAATGTATAATAATATTGTTATAAGAATGCATTTTTTCTTAATTTTCTACTAATAAAAATGTTAATTTATACATATACCAAAACTCCACCAAGCACTTGTAACTTGTTGGAAGATAAAATTGGGTTTTTTATTATTATGATTATATCACCGAGCACATGTAAATCGTTGATATTTTGTTAGAAAGGAAAAAGATGAAAAGGTTGTGTTTTTGTTAGACTTGTGTAATCGAATGCTTTATTTAATCATTTACGTATCCATATATACAGTTCTTTCTTTTTTAATAATTGCTTATAACCTACTTACTAAAATTAACAACTACGCAATATATAAGAAGAAGAGACAAACGTGCAGTAATTTTATGACCTATTTAATTTAACACAAATTTGTTTATTAGCAAAATAGTGCATCTATTCCCTGCTTTAGAACAATAAATTAATAATAAATGAATTAAGAATAATCATCAAAAAAGACAATTCATATGCAATGAACTAAATAAATGACATACTTTAGATATAATTAATAACAGAAATGTCAGCAAAAAAAAGAAAACTTGTAATGAACAAAATGAATGACTTGTTTTACACATTAAACTTAAAACCTATTATTTTATCTGCCGTTTTTATTTTTTGAATATCAATGACGCATTTCTTAACAAGATTAACAAGATTTTGTAAATATATTACACAGCACCAGTGAGTTTCAATGGCGAAATAAGCAAAACGACTTTCGTTTATTGAACCGTCGCATTGTTTGAATTGCTTACTATTTTTTTGCTTACTAAATTTTCCTATTACATAATATTAATGTGTCGATCGAAATTAAATTAATCGAAATTAAACAGTACTTTACAGCTACTCATAAAGTGCGTTCCATTTTATTATTTTGTTATTTTAAAATTAAAGTAAAATAAGACTATGCGAAACTAAAAAAAGCGTGTTGCTGCCGAGGGACTTGAAAAGAGAAAAAAGTTAAAGATCAAGAAAGAAATGTATGAAGCTAAACTATATCAAGAACAGTATTTTCGTTACAAAGTTAACGGAAGTTGCATATCAATAAATAAAGGGAAGCGGCATGCGTTTTTCTGGCTAAGTTTGAATTTGACGAAAATTATAAAACGTTCAACACCGACCGCGTTGAAGCACGAATGTGTGTTCAATTTTCCGGGAGTACCGCTAATTTATGCACTGGAAGTCCCGTTGCTGGTATTGACGTCAACGACCCTGACTTTATTGTCGCGACCTGTTATTACGGCTTCCACTCTTCGGTGCTTCCACTGGTGAGCGAGAAGTTTGTCTTCTTGGACGACGACTAGTCGACCAACTGCGAGATTCGGCTGCTCGAACACTTGTTTTTTGGACTGCAGCTGTAGGATGTAATCTTTCGAACAGGATTGCCAGAACCTCCGTTTGAGCTCGCATAACAGACGCCATCGTTTCAAAGTGCTCAATTTGTTGTCGGAGACGCCTTGCGTTCATTCTTGCAGCAGCGAATGAAGAGTACCTCGTATCAACAGGTGTGCTGGTGTTAGTGCTTCTTTGTCGTTTGGGTCTTATTTAATGGACTAACTGGACGAGAATTGAGCAGGGCTTCTACCTCAATGAGCATGGTTAACAATTCTTTGTTGATAAGAAGCGTACTGTTGATTGTTCGTTGAATATGGTGTTTTGCCGATTTGACCGCCGCTTTCTATAATCCTCCGAAATGGGATGCCCTGTATTGTATGAAGATAAGGTCTATGCCTCTTTGTGCAGCATATTATGTCAGATCGTCCTTGTGCTCTCGGATCGGCACTATCAATGTATATGTATAGCCTTTGACGTGAAACAAACAAACACTGCTATATACATTTTAACTGGTGGTCGACCACGAATTTTTAAAGTAGTGCACACAGGCCCACAAAAATCGGCACCGCTAATTAAAAAAGGTCGTAGTGCTTTTAACCGATCCGCAGGTTAGTTTTCCATAACTTGGGTCAGCAGCCTAGGTCTGTATCGAACACAATGTATGCATGCTCTTACGGTTTTACTGCATGCCTTACTTGAATTTATTACCCAAATTTTTTCACGCACCAGCACTTCTAAGGCTTTTAGACCAGTATGACAATTAGTTGTATGGAAAAATCGCAAAAAAATCTCATCAAAATTCAATTTTTTTGGTAATAAAAGGAAGAATTTTGAATCATAAGAAAGTGGTGCGTTTAGTAAACGACCTCTTACACGAAGCAAATTAAATGTTCGAGAACCATTTTGGACTGTACGAATGAATGGAGTTAGTTTTTGAATGTAAACTGGTAATTACAGCGACTTCTCCATTCTTTGGATTTGATCCCTGATTTCTTGATTTTGAATGAATTCAATGATTTTCAAGAAAGTCCAATTTGTGGTCGGAATAAGAACGTTAGCGCTCCCATTTTTCTTAGTCACGAAACCTAGAATGCATTCTTGACAACGCCAATAATGAGTGGCTGTATTCTAGTCTATAGCTTAGCCAGAAGGTGAGTTGCACATAATTCGAATCTGGGTAAAGACTTTGTGTTAAGCGGAGCGACCCTCAATTTAGCAGTGAGCAGCGCCGTATTAATACCATTAGAATCATGAGTTCAGATGTAAATACAACAGCTATAAGCTTTTATTGAAGCGACGGCAAACCCGTGAATTTCGCATTTGAAATTCGAGATCACATTTACGTGGTATTGCGATAACATCCAGTGAAGATAAATTCGCTTTGATGGCTTGCCAATTGGTGTCAAGGTGCATATGTATTGATTCATCCCAATCAAGTTTTTAAAGCCAAAGTTCTTGCAACAATATTTTTGCTTTAGTTATTTAGTTTAGTTAAGTCGAGCTAAAACCGACAACATATTTCTCTTTGTCGCTCGTAAATGAATATTTTTTTTTTCTAGTAGAGTAGTAGAGTGCTAGTAGAGTATTGGTGTAAAAGAGTATGATATTACCGATTACACACTCGACAGCGTAATGCCTTGTATATACATACAGTATGCCCTCTTTTGAGACAATTTATGCGTGCTGAACTAGATTTAATGAAGTTGAACCGTTTAGTAACTGAAAGAGCAGCAAAAGCGGAGCATAAATTTATTACATGTTCTTTTAAATTACAGAACAAACATTTACTTTCCTCTTATGAGCTATTTTTTTGCACCTAAGTGGTGATTTTTCATTCATACTTTGCCAACTGTCCTG